AACAAGCCTTGAAGAGACCTGGGACGTGGGGTAAGGGGAATGATGTTGATTCCAGGCAAACGTGCATCATAGTTGTTGACATTTGCTTGAGTCTGTAAAATTTTGGCTTCAGTTTTAGTATGGAGGGAGTATGATGCTGGTAGTTTCTGTTCCACAGCCTCCCCAGTCTAAGTGCCTGGAGGTTGTTCCACCTGGTCCTGTAATGCAATACTCTTAGGTTCCAGCCTGTTCACACTCCAAGCCTTCACTTGGCTGCTGCAAGGGTTTGTGGGAGACAAAAGGGGCCACAGCTGCCATTTCTGGGACATAGGGAACATAAGGTCCTCTCCCTCTCTGTGTCTCCACTGCTAATGCGGGATCCTTCTGTAGTCATCATCCAGTGTAACTGGATTCTCACTTGCCTCCATGTTGCTTCTGTTCAAACTGTTATCACCTACTTTGTAATTTTCAGTCCCATTTTCTAAAGAATTAAGCAATGAATGGCCAGATAATTGTGTCCATCAAGCAAGCACTTCCAGTTATTATAGAATTCACAAAAACTAAGGACACCCCAGTGACCTCGAGGAATGAAAATCATACAAAGGAAGGAGAGTTGGACCTAAGCACTCTGGAAATGGGAGGGTGCCAGAAAGATTTTTAGGGTGTTGTAAAGTAGGTTCCTAGTGACAAGGTTATCTCGTGACTATGATGGAACTTGTCTATGAATCTCTATGAGAGTTTTGCAACATCAAATGTAATGACTCAACCAGTCTCTCTGACTCACGTTCAACCCTCCCAAGAAAGGATCTGCCTATATTTGTTTTTGTGCTGGGCAACCTCTGTGTGCTGGCCAGCCTGCCTTTGAACTACCCTACGCCAGGAACTCCACAGTCAGCGTGGCTCAAGAGTGCTTGGAGGCAGGCATTTGAAGCCTGGGCTTCAGGTAGGGCTTCCCCAGAGCACGTCCCATGGAGTCCTGCGAAAGTGATTTCTCAGGGACTGTGGTGAGGAAAATGAAGAAATGAGGATGTGGATGCAGAGAAGGAGGAAGTAAGGAGAAGCAGGTGATCTCGGATGGTTTCCAGGAAGAGCTCCAGAGACACCGCCTGCCACATTCCTGAGTGATGTCAATCAGAGGCAGCGGAGCTGGAGTATTTATGCCCTGGACTTGTTCATCTTTGGTCAAGTGTTGGCCTGAAGCACAAATTCCCAGGTGCCTGTAGCTTTCCTTGTGTCAGCAGAATAGTTTTGACATTCCAAGACTATCTTTCTTTCCGCTGATTCAGGGGCCAACTGTCAAGAGTGACACAGCTTTGGGAGGCTATGCTCTGGAAAAAGGCCCTAAGATCCCAGGGGACAGGGGTGGAGCAATGACTGTACTGATTGCAGCCACCTGGAGACAGCTGGAATGGCTTCCTCTACCAAAGGCCACAGGCACAGCTGACACCTAAGCTAAGTAGTGCTTTCTACGTAACCTGACTAAGATGATGACAAGCTTGGGTGATGCTTCAGTGCAGGCTTGAAGAGAGTTAGGTCTGTTGGTGTTACCTTCATCTCACAGTCTGCAACTCAGAAAGGACTGGCTGAAGCTAACATAAACCATCAGAGGCCACCACAAATCAGACTCAAGCTAGCATGAGCCAGTCCCTGACTGTTCTCAGTTTATAAACAACAGATGAATGATTTTAACAATGATAGCAAGAGTTAGCTAACTTTCTCACTAAATTGCTGAGAACTGTCATGTCTAATGTTTTTCAAAGAGAGAGAGAGAGAGAGAGAGAGAGAGAGAGAGAGAGAGAGAGAGAGGTGGCATACTTATCACTACCTGACTCCACTTTTGTTTTTGTTTACAGGAACTCCTATCAACTTAAAAGACCTACAAGGTTTTGACGTATAACCTGTAAATGAACAGTTTAGGACTCCTGGCCAGGGGTTCTTTCCCACTTGTGAACTCCTGAGAGACTGAGTTACATTCAGACATCTGTGTCCACATAGGAGAGGTTTGCCTATTACTCCCCATTGGAGAATCTCCAGGAACAGAGAGGGGATCCACTCCCAGTGATGCAAACATTTGACACTTGTTCTAGAGGGGGCATGAATACACATATACATTTATCATACACTAAAATTCTATTAATGATCGTATAGTATATAATTTATAAATAATAAAACATCAATATTCCATATTATACATTCCATGTAGTGAATTGATCTGTGCAGACTATTCTTTTTTTTATTTCGTTTGTTTGTTTGTTTTGTTTTTTGGAGACAGGGTTTCTCGGTACTGTTTTGGAGCCTGTCCTGGAACTCGCTCTGTAGACCAGACTGACCTTGGACTCACAGAGATCTGCCTGCCTCTGCCTCCCGAGTGCTGGGATTTAAGTCATGTGCCACCAACACCCGGCTGTGCAGCAGACTATTCTTATTAGTTATTGCTTATGTTACTAGCCAATGTGTAGTAGTTATGAACCAAAAAAACTCCAATATGAATAAACTGTTATACTCATCCATGGTGACAAGGCAAAATGAAGGTGCATTTTGCAATGAATGGGTTTGAGTTGAAGTAGACATGTGATGAGATGCATGATAGTATGGTATGAGTGTCTTCTCTACAGAATCAGATAACTCAATCATAGGAACTAACTCAATGGCTAAAGACATGAAGAACGTAGGTTGATGTGTGTTCTCCCATTCTCTCTGTTTCTCTGTCTTTCTCTAACATCAGGAAGCAGCATAGAGTCTCTCTGTAGCCCAGCATGGCCTCAAACTTGTGATTCTCTTGTCTCAGAGTCCAAATACTGGAATTACATGTGTGAGTTCCATTGCTTTCCTGGTGGAGGAAAGTTTGATGTGCTTCCTAGTATAAATACTGCTGCCGCAGTCAGTTCTGAGCAACTGATGACAAGGCACAAGATTCAGTGTTGGGAGCATTAAGAAGGATACCACTGAGTGGTATGTCCATCATGAGGACTCAACAGATCAAAGTCAGTTCCAGGATCAAATTAAATAATTAGGAAGAGAGGCATTTCAAGTACTCAGCACCACTGATTCAATATAATTGATTAAATAATAATTTATTTAATTTGTCTTTGATAAAAATTGTGCTTCATAATCAACTTGGAAAACTATACAGATTTAACAAGACCCTCTTCCAGCTATTCTGGGCCAGCTCCAGAACTCCATGCCTGGATTTCATTGCCTCACATGCTGCTGAGGGCTAAAAAGTTGTTCAGTGATGTGGTCGGATGCTCTGTCTTCATCTTGCCAAATTTCCAGCATCCTCCCACTAGTAGCCAAACACAGACACTAATTTTTCTAACTAATGAAGATCCTGTTGACATATGTAGATGAGACACAGTGTATCTCTGATATCTTAGAACAATTGGTGTCCCTCTGCTTGGAGACACATGTCCATTTACAGTTTCTACAGAAGCCTAGGCACCAGATCTCACAATGACCTTAGAGCCACGATGTCACATAGCTGACGCATCCTTCATCCGGTGTTTTATTTTTAATATATACTGCAAAATGCAATCCAATACTATCCATAATCAACCTTTATCCCTTTATGACTTTCACAACATTAAAATAAATCATTTCTTTTCCCCTCCCTAGTCTCCTTATCTCCTTCAGACTGTCAGGATTTCATCTATAAGGCTTGAGATGAGTCATTTTTGGTTGTTGTCACTGGTGAGTAATTTATGATATGGCACTATCAGTAACTATCAGGACTTTATAAAATGAGATCCTAGGGAAATCCTTGATAATACAAGAAAGTCTTCAGGCACAAAGACAGATTAATCATCCTGGCATTTCAGCTTCCGAAGTAGTTGCTGATTGCTTCCTCATGAATCTTGCTTGATAACTTCAAACTTGGATTTGTTTTCCCCAGGGTTATATTTTTTCATGGAAAAAAGAGAAGCAAATCCCACTGCAAGCCCTCCAGAAGTCTGTACCATTCTCCTGGAGTTGCTCTACATGGGCACTTGAACTTCTGTTTGCTTTTGAGACCAGACTATCAACAAAGAACCTTGTCAGTTCTCTTCCTTTTGGGGGTCATAACATGCCATTAGCTTTGTGGTTTAGCTCACCTGGGGGGTTTATCCTATAATATAATGTCACTAAGTACCAAAAGAGATGATGGTCCCTCTTCTCCAAGTATTGTGCCCATTCATTGAGTAGAAGTTTGTTAGATGTGCACCATGAGGCAAGCATGGAGATGCTGAAGAGAACAGGAACAAGTATGGGAATACTGAGAATAACAGAAAGGATGTTTGAGTGGAGTATACAGTATCAGATACAGAGGAGTTACATGGTCCTAGGTTTGGAGTTACATGGTCCTAGGTTATATCCCAGATCACCCATCTGATTTTGGTAAAGTTACTTGACCTGTAAACCCACTTTATGGGTTACTGTGAGAACTACAGGTGAGATGGTGTGTGTGTTGGTGGAGCAATACACATGGCCTCCAAATGGTTCTTGTGACTAAGCCTGGAAGAACATTGTCTCTGTATTCACAAGACTCAGACTAATAGGAAAGGCAACATGTGAACACAAGTGACCAGCAGAAAATGGCAGGCACTGAAAGAGCAAAGCCATAAGAACACACCATCCCAAGTTCTTCCATTTGCTGGAAAGGGGCTTAGATGATACATAATCTTGACTGTTTTTGCAGATTTACTACACTCACTAGAACTATCCCAATAGGGTGTGGCCTACAATGTCATGCTATGAGAAAGTCCACCCAACTGAAAAAGCTGACTGCTGTACACACCCTTACAAATAGCCTAGTAACATAAGCAAACACAGCAGTGACTGCTGATGTCGCCTTAACACTATTGTAAATGATAAAAATTCCCAATGGGTGCATCATACATCCAGTCAAACTTCCTGCCAAATTCTTCACGAAGCCCTTGTCTGTGATTGTTAGTATTCCATTCTGCATCTTAAATCCATTTTGATCTCCTATGCAATTTCTAGATTGAATTTACTATTTGCAGAAATGTAATTCAGAAGTCATGGGAAATAAAGCTGCAGGTATTGATGATATAGATTTGAATAAAATTCTTCAAATTTGTTTCTAAGAAATTTATTTATGAGTACATTTTGAGAACTCATAATATTCTAAAATACAGATGACAAATATTTCTTTTGTCTCTTCCACCATGTGGATGTTTCCAGCTCCCCTCTATATAGAGAAACAAAATATGGAGCTAAGAGGCATTGGATGACATAGGAAGTCAGACTTAACTGACTATATAGACGGTGTTTTCTATTTTCTCTGCTTAAACATTCCCTCTTCTCTCCAAACACCCTATCACCTTTGCAGTTTTTCATTTTTTCTTCATTTTCCATGAACTACTACACCCACACACACACTTAGACCACATACCTAATGATGTAGCCATCCTCAAACCTCACATGACAGTTATTTTTACAATTGCTGTGAGAAAATCGGATGAGTGGCTGAACATAGCTTTTTCTCTTTTTGACTGAAACAGGTTCCTACTTCTAAACTGTGTTCAGAATTGTAGTTCTAAACCAGAGACTCGTTTCAGCAGGCTGAAGCAGGTTTCCCACAGTGCATTCCATGGAACACTGATGTCTCTGGAGATGTTAACAAGCATTCTAAAACTTAAATCTTCAGAGTTAGAGTGCTGTGGGAAAATACACTGGCCTATTAAAGATTCTAGGAACACCAGCATTAAAGAAACCTGTTTAACTCTCTCTGTGCTAGAAACACACAGATCTGTGTTAAGGTAGAGGTCGCTTACTGATTGACTGGTTGGTTGGTTGATTTTGTTTATTTCGTGGTGCCAGGGGAAATGTATTTCATCAACATGAATTTTTTTTCTTATGTTGTGTAAGTAAAGGAAGAGATTCTGATTCTATTCCAGCCTTTTAGGGCTTCCCTTCATGATAGAGAAAATGCTGCCACAGGCTCTCTGCTCACATCTTCATCCACACTCATGCTAAACAAACATTCCACTGTTATGAACACTGGCCCAGTTCTCCTTCCTTTCTCCCAGAGTTATATTTCTCCATGGAAAAAGAGAAGAGAAAGCCCCACAGCAAGCCCTCCAGAAGCCTGTGCCATTTGCCCGGAGTTGCTCTACACGGGCATCTGAACTTCCAGCTTTTTAAGGCAAAACTATCAACAGAGCATCTGGTCAATTCTCTTCCCTTTGGGGATGATAACATGCCACTAGCCCTGTGTTCTAACTCACCTGGGGGTGATCTGGCATTTATCCCATAACATAGTGCTAGTAAGTGCCAAAGGAGATGCTGGTCCCTCTCATCCATGTATTACATCCATTCATTGAGTAGACATATGCTAGACGTCCACCAAGCATGGGGATGCTGAGGGTAATAGGAACAAGCATGGGAATGCTGAGGGTAATAGGAACAAGCATGGGGATGCTGAGGGTAATAGGAACAAGCATGGGAATGCTGAAGATGACAAGGAGGAAGTTTGGGCGGAGTGTACAGCATCAGATACAAAGGAAATATCACAGGTTTGCATTTACATGGTCCTAGGTTACATTCCAACTCAGTCATCTAATGTGATTTTGGTCAAGTTACTTGACCTGTAAATCCATGTTATGAGGAGGAACAGAAGTTCATCCACTACCTTTCTATAATCTGGCAGGTCTTTAACTTTCACAACATAGCAGTGGACCACCTTCAGTCATCTAAACCCATGCCCTTTCACTTCTATACAACTTTGTGCTAAGAGCAGACATGACTCTGAAGAAGTCCAATCCTATATCCTGGGGAGGTTTGTTTAAACTCTTTTGGACCAGCCATCAGGTCCCTGTATAAGCTTCCCATTGCTGAAAGCAATAATCGGAGCCAATCGAAGAGGGGAATACTTAATTCTGGCTCATAGTTGCATTGGTTGCCTCTTGCTTTTGACCCAGGGTGGCAGGATAGCATGTTAAGAGCGAGTGGAAGAGCAATTCTGCTCATTTCATGGCTGATGAGAGACAAAAGCAACGAGAGGAAGAGGCCAGAGTTCCAGCACCCCTTTCAGTGGTAGCGCTCAGTGATCAAATTTCTTGCAAGGTCTAATGGATTAGATATTCCATCGCGTTCCAGGAGTATGATAGACCCCACCTTTTGATACGTGCACCATTAGAAGACACTTCATATCAAGCTGTAGTACCTGCTCTATGGGCCCACCCCTTCCCATTTTGAGGGCTTTGTTACCAAGACTGCCCTACTGTAGGAGATTATCCTGACTAAAGTTGTCACAAAAACCTGTTACCAAGGAACCTTTGCCCCAGAATCAGCCTGAACTGCTCTCATCCATCTCAGGTAAGCTAATTCAACAGAATTACAGCACTTGCTGACTGCTGGCACATGCCATCCTTCGCCTAAAGGATGTGACTGGAGTCAGAGAAGTCACCGGTGTGAAGGGCAGTGCTAGGCATGGCAAAATCTCCATGTTGGCTCTGGGTTTTCAGATTATCATGTGTCAAGTGTATTTATTCACATAGAGTAGAGGTGAAGAGCACTGATGTTGCCTCGCTCTTGCAGTCTGGATAATCTTGTCCAAGTCATCTACCCTCCAAGCCTCCATTGCACCATCTGGAAAATGAACATAATAGAATCGTCCATTAAGAGTACTACAAAGAGTGGGGGTGTGGTGGTGCAAGACCAGGCGATGTGAGGAGACTCTGTCTCAAAATGATCTGTATCTTTGCCATAACCCAGGCAAGAGACGTGGTGGTTTCAGCACTGATGGCGGCACAGGAGGCTGACAGAGATGGATGCATTTAGCTACTTTTGGAGGTGGCACTTGCAGGAGTCAGAGATGAAAGAACCCATGCATGAGGGAGGGGAGGGAATTGATGAACTCACATGGTTGTCTTTGAGCAGTGTTTCCCAGGAGGGCAGCTTGAAGCAAGGGCAGGCTGGGGTTTCCCTTTGCAGTGAAAGCATCATTAAGTCCGGGACACAAAGACAGCTAACAGGGAAATATCTATACAGCTGGAGAGCCAAGATTACACCCAAGAAATCTATATCCAGGCTTGTCATGACGGCTATTAGAGAAAGACAAGGGTAGTTGGGAAGAATGTGGGGGAAAGGGAGAACCTTGGTGTGGGGTTGGTAGAAATGTAACTTAGTATAACCACCATGGAAAAACTGGATGGTGGCTTCTCGGAAACTAGTGGTAGAATGACCATATATAATCCCAAATCTCACTCATGTATATACTCAAAGGGTCTGAAGTCAGGGTGTCGCAGAGTCATTTGTACTTCATGTTTATTGCAGTACTAAACACAGTAACCAAATTGTTAAAGTAACCCAAGTGTTTGTCCCATCTGCTTTGCTGCTGCGATGACACACTGGGGAGGAGAGGGCTTATTCTATCTTATCCTTTCAGGTGGCAGTCCATCACTGAGGGAAGCTGGGGCAGGAACTCAGAGGCAGGGACTGATGCAGAAGCCATAGAAGAATGGCCCTCACTGGTTTGCCTCCATGATTTTCTCTGTTACTTTCTTATATAACCCAGCACCACCCATGTTGAGTAGAACCCCCCCACATCAATAATTAATCAACAAAATGCCCCAGGCAGACATTCCCATAAGAAGGCAGGTCCTCAACTGAGGTTCTTTCTCTTCCTAGGTGACTCTAGTTTGTGCCAAGTTGACAAAAAAGTAACCAGTGCAGTGTCTGTCACTGCAGGGATGGACACAAAATGGGTGGTTCAGTTACAAAACTGGAATGCCATTCCACAGCATATACATATTTCAAAACATCATGTTGTAAGCATAAACACATAGAACTTAAATGATGTTTTGGAAGAGAAATTGAAAACCAAACCCAAAGCCCCCAATTTTTTCTTTGCCCAATTTCTGACAGGGCAGTTCCCACTATGAGAGCCTCTGCCTCTGCCACTGTTGGAACACCCTTTCACATTCAATTTCCATTTCCTCCTATTGCACAAAGAGTTGGTTGGTGATTCTCAGTGCACCCCAAGCAACACTTTCCCCAGGAGCAGAAACAGCGGGGCCCACTTGAGTCCTTCCCTGGATCTTAGATTGGCAATGCATCATTTGTTGTCTTCTCCAGGTCCTAAAACACCTTTAATAAATGGTGTCTGCACTGTTGAGCATGCACAGTCTGTGACTTTATCTTAGCTGGGAGCAAGAAAGCAGAGGACAGAAGACTTCACTGTTTTGTTCTGAGAATTGAGTCCTTGCTACATGAAAGGAGATGGTAAGTGGATATGGTTTGTCTGGCTAAGGAGCTTACAGTCCAAGGAAGTCATTATGCAGGGTGATACCGGCAGTTGATTGTCCTTCACAGAGGATCGTGCTAGATGAGACACTAGTCCAGAGACTTGGACACAGGAATTAACAACAGAAACTAACCCTTCAGTTAGAGGAGTTGTCATGGCATTAGGCAGGAATCCATGGTGAGGTCAGGAACAGATGTCATTTAGTAAGATGTGACAGGGAAGGGAAGGTCAATACCTTGGAGAAGCAGATGAAGATGCAGGTTTAATTGGAATGATTGGCATAAGCTAACAGTGGAAGGAAGGTCCCCTAGGGACAGAGAAGAGGGAGTGGTGGGACAGTAGAGGGGATACTTCCAGCATCTCGACGGTGGGAGCACCATGCTTCCAAGAAAACGTTAGTGAGAAAATATCTTCTGTGGAAAGATCACTGACAAGGGAAGTGGGCGTGCTAAGATTTTGAGGTGATTTTGCTCATTAGAAACTAAATTTTTTTCTCACAGAGTGGTGTGTAACAGGAGTTTTAGGGGGTTTCTTAGCAAGGCATACAGAGATAAGCAGAGACTTCCAAAGAGTAGCCAAGTGAAAGAATAGCCCATGCCTACAGAGAGTTACTTCTGTTTGGGAAAGCAAGGAGGAGGCATGAGGGAGCTGCCGGGGCCGCAGGGGTAGTGGCGGTAGGAGGAGCCACCCAGGACCTCAGTAGACAAAGCTGTCCCTGGTTTCTGATGAGAACGTGCAGCTGGGAGGGGGCTGATGGCTTCTGGATAAAGACTGATGGTGGCTGATGACTGTGTGATAGGAAGTCCCAGAGTGACTAGAAAGGAAGTCAAGTGACAGTAGGACAGAGGAAGTTATATAGTTGACTTCTAGCAGTGTGCTCTTCAAGCAAAGCAGTGAGGTTGTCTCAGTCAGCTCAGTTGCTCTCTGTGTGCAAACCTCTGGTAAGTCTTCTCCACTACACACCACAGTTGTGCTCCCAGATCACAGATATTGGCCGAGAACCTCCTTTGTGGCAAGCAGGATAAGGTGCAAGGATGATAATTTCCTTTTAATTCTAGCAAACGTCTGACAACCGTGCAAAGGGTATCTGACTTATGTTTTTAAAAATCAAATTTTTCTTCTTGTGAATAGGGTTGAGCAATTTAACCCAGGAGTGTTTTTGTTTGTTTGTTTTTGTTTTGTTTTGTTTTTCAAGACAGGGTTTCTCTGTGTGGCTTTGGAGGCTGTCCTGGAACTAGGTCTTGTAGATCAGGCTGGTCTCGATCTGCAGAGATCCGCCTCCTTATGCCTCCTAAATTCTGGGATTAAAGGCACACACCACCACTCAGCCTTAACCCACGAAGTTTATAACACTTATATACATACTCCTGAGATCTATTGAAGGAGGTGTAGTGCAAAGCATAAAAAATGTTCCATCTTCAATGGATCTCAGTTAATCTGGTTTGGAAATCTCTGGCTTTCCGGCTACAAGAACCAACATACCGTGTTGGCGGCAGCTTGGCAGCATCACCGAAGCCCATCCTCAGTCCTGAGAATCAAGGATGCTGACTACTACATCTTGAGAGGAACAGAATGACGATTTTAGACTCAAGAAAGGCGTCTTGAGTTAGGATCTGGAGTTGCCTGTAGGGAGGGAGAGCTGGGAAAAGAGGAGGCTAGCCTTGCAGTTTTGGGTGGGATACTGAACCGGGGGTGGGAGCTCCCTGTGGTTAAGCACGGGACCTTCAGGTGTTCTTTATAATCCTTCCACACACATACACTTGAGGAAAACATTCTGGGCTCAAACACATTGTCAGAAAGCTGAAGTCACTTAAAGTCACTTAATGTGAACCCTGCGGATGTCATTCTAGCCGCTCCTCTTCAGGTTCTTAGGAGTTCATTTGACCACAGTCTCTGATACAACCAAGTTTCTGAACGGGCAATGCTAGGGGCTGGCACAGCTGAGATGCCGCCTCGGGGAGTATTAAAACCGCCAGGTCTGCATTTTAGGGTTAGTTCTGCCAGTGGGTGTGACTGCTAGGCCCCCCACTTGTTAAAAGGAACTTGGAAGGAGGTGGCAGCGATGGTCATGCAAGTAAAACACGTGGCCGGTGCCTGTAGAAATGCTGTTTACCGAAAGCTTAACAAAGGGAAGACTCCAAAGGCAGCTGGTGTGCCTTGGTATGGACCCTGAGTTACAGCGTCTCCTGGACCCTCCAGTCTCTGCACGGTTACTACGAGCGTGAGCGTCCATAGCAACCGCTTAGGGCGGGGCTTCCCTGCTGGTGCCCAATCAGCTCCCTGCGAGGGGGACCCTGGCTGCCGTTGAGTGGTCCACGGTTTGATGTCACGGGGGGGCGGGGCAAGCCGGCCTTTAGGCTGGCTGAAGGTGGAAGGCGCGCACAGGTGAGTGGTCCAGGAAGGTTCCCTGAGCAGCAGGACTGTGGCACCTGCCTAGAGTCCTAGTTGTCTCACCCTTCGTCCCCAGGCATCCCTGGCCCGCTGCTCCGCCCAACGGTCCAAGGAAGAGGCACCCATTCTGTTTCTCACCTGCTTCTCCAGGGTGTAACTTGTGTCCTCAACCTATTTCTTCCTCTTGGTGCTTTCTCAGTCCAGGCTTCCAAGAGACCCAGGGAGGATATGTATCTGAAACTCCAACCAAGGCTGGTGTCCGTGGCACTCTTTGTCTCGGGGCCATTTTTGGGTTAAATCTTCCTTGCATTTTGGTGGTTAAAACCAAGCCCCCTCAATACCATTCCTGGTGCTTATGGTGTAGTAAGCAAGCACTTGAGAAGCAGGGAGCATCTTTGGCTTGGTTATTGTGGACAGGAAGCTGTTTTATTGACAGGCAAAGCATTTAAGGAATCTGGTGAAACAGTCTACTCCTTCTGTAAATAAAATATTTCACACAATAATTCAATAAACAGCATCAGTATGCCGCCTCTCACCGTCCAACCCTTAAACGGTTACAAGCACAACCCCTTCCTTCCCCAGGGCACTCGCCTACAAGAATTTAGTGTTTCCTTATACTCTGAATGTTTTATATAAATTTAAAGCTTATGTATTGATATGTATCAGACACTCTGCATCAAGTATGCTATGAATTTGCCTCACATCACCTATACATCTTCTGCTCATAGGCTTTTAGTTTGCTCCCCTAAAAATACTGGAGAGGGATTTTTGGACATTCTAATTGTTTCTGTATACGGGTGTCTCTGGGCATACAATCATGGCAATAAAAGTAACTGAGGATGTTGTTTCCAGTGTCTTAGATCCTCCTACTGACAAGAATTATTTTGCATTTTTTGTTTGCTTACAGATAATTAAGACTTTCCTCTATTTTTCTTCTTTTTTAAATTTAAATTAGAAACAAGATTGTTTTACATGTCAAACCCAGTTCCCTCTCCCTCCCCTCCTCCCCTGTCCCCCACAGACCTGCCTATCCCATTCCCTTTCTGCTCCCCAGGGAGGATGAGGCCTTCCATAGGGGATCTTCAAAGTCTGTCATATCGTTTGCAGCAGGGCCTAGGCCCTCCCCAGTATGTCTAGGCTGAGAGAGTATCGGACTTTCCTCTATTTTTATTTAAACTTGAAGTTGCAATGCTTCATATGGAAATACGATGCATTGCTTCTAATTTTGGTGTTTAAAAGGTGAAAGAGTTATAGGATCTGAAGAGAAGCCCTCATTAATTGCGATATTTATTGTGTATTTCTGGTTCTATGTGGCACTGTGTTAGCTCCTAGTGGACCTGAGGGTCTGTACGGGAAGCTTTCAAGGCCATGCCTGCTGCTGATTGGAGGCCAGGTTTGGAGCAAAGCAAAACAGTCCCTGCATGTAGATCTTCTGGAGAAGATGTTCTATAGCTTATGTTTTAAATATTTATGATCCTGAAGTCTTGACTAAAATGTGCTGATAAAATACATCCATTCAAGTCAAGCATGTCTTCTGAATTGCAAAAGAATATTTCCAGTACTTGTATTCTCTGTGGGGTTGGGTCTATCTTTAGCAAATTACTGTTTATAGATGACCACTATAGCATTTCCAGTGTGTTAATACCTGTTGATCACACAGTAAATGAATAAAGTCCAAACTGGTTTGATATTGTAGCACATCTCATTTCCTCAAATGCTCTTTGTTGGTGACAAAATATAATTATTTCTCTATTTATTTAAGCACTGGCTGCCCTGGAACTTGCTATGTAGACCAGGTTGGTCTCAAATTCATAGAGATCCACCTGTCTCTGGTTCCTGAGTGCTGAAATTAAAAACATGTCCAGCACATCTGGCCAAAATGTAATTTACAAGGAAAAAAACCAAATTGTATGGTCTAGGGGATAATTTCCATAGCTACTTTCAGCCAGTTTTCCCAAAGAACTCATTGAATATCCTTGAAGATATAAGATAAATACAATGCTAACAATCTTAGGAAGTATTGCATATGTGTGTATAGAGAATGACTGAGATAGAACTTGGAGAGCTAAAACCGCAAAAGACACAATCAGCAAATTCATTCAGAGTCTTTTTTAAAGCTCAAGGGCTATTTCTTCCTTAAAAGTTTGATAGGCTGGGCATGGTGGTCTCCATACTTCTAGCACTCAAGAGTATGAGGCAGGAGAATCATGAGTTCCAGACTAGACTTTGTTTTTTTAAAAAATCCCAAATTAATGTTTGGTACATGCCATTACTCTCCTTGTGTCTGTGACCAAATACCTGGCTAGAGGCAACTCAAGGGAGGAAGAGTTGATTTGGGCTGCACTTTGAGGGGAGTTACCCATCATAGCAGGAAGAAATGGCAGCAGGAGCCAGCTGGTCCCATTGCACTTGTATGCATTCAGGAAGCAGATGCCCACCAGAAATGGAGTGGGGTCATATAAACTACTGTCGACTCTCCAGTGTCACTTTCTCAAGAGAGGCTCCACTCCTTATAGGTTTCACCATCTTCCAAAACAGCGCCACCAGCTGTGAACCAAGGGTCAAATGGGAGCCTCTGGGGGACATTTCAATCCAAACTATAACAGACTTCACCAGTGACACTGGGACTGAAATTTTCTTTGTAAATTATACATCCCATTTGATTACTGTAGGGCTCTGTGGGTTGTCAGTCTCTTCTTCAGTCAGTTTTGGTAATTTGTATCTTTCAAAGACTTTGCTTGAGCTGGAGAGGGGGCTTAGTGGAGTAAGTACTGCCTGAGGATTCGAGCTCAGATCCCTAGAACCCACACAAAGACTGAGCATTTGTAGTGGTCCCCGTAGTACTGGGGGGTGGGGGTGGGGAGACAGAGGATCCTGGCTGGCTGGTTATCTAGATTAGCAGGTATTGGATAGTATATCTTTCCTATGAATTACTGACAGAAGAGTGTTGAATATCCAACTGTAGTTGTGTATTTGCCTGTTCCTTAATCTTGCCAAGCTTGGTGATATGTATTTATGTCAATGATCACATAGACATTTAAGATTGCTATATTTCTTGAAATATTATTTTCATGTCTTATTATTATGTATGTGAGTGCTGGTGCGCATGCACAAAGGTCAGAAGACAAGCCCTAGGAATCAGTTCTCTCCTTTGATCTTTATATAGATTCCTCAGTTCTCTAGGCTTGGGCAGCAAAGCAGCACTACCCACTGAGCCATCTTGCCTGCCTTGGCATCTCTCTTTGAAAGATCTTTTTATTCATTTTTATCTTTGGTCTTGAGGTTTACTTGGCTTGATAGTAATATAGAAAACTCAATTTTTTATGTTATATGTTTTCTTATACTTTTATTTTTAAATTATGTACTTTACATTTCAAATGTTTTTTCTAGATAATACAATTAATATTACTATTTAAAATCATTCAATTGATGTGTCTGTCATCTTCATAATTTTGCTTTTCATCATCCTATTTTTATCCCTCTTTTAAATCATGTCTTTGCTTTCCCTTCTCCTTCTTCCCCTCCTTCTTCTTCATTTTGATTTATTAGTTAGAACTCCTTTTTTAATTATTATTTTTCAAGAGATTACTTCAGGACATTAATTTTAAAGTGTTTTGGTGTTTGGGCCAGAACTTTTTTGCAAAGTATAGGCATGGATAACTTCAGACTGCCCTCAAATATGCAGGTGTGCACACCATTCATATTAAAACATTGTTGTATGAAAATTATAGGGTGAATCAAAGTAAAATGTATTGACAAGAGTGTTGCTGTCTTATCATTGTGGTGTGTTTCTTTAATTCCTAGTTTGGTGTAATGCCACATGACATCACCCCGGAAAACGTTATGGTACACTTATGAGATTATAGAGTTAAAGAAGATGACTGTCCCTGAGGGTTTGCTACAAAAATAATGTTGATGTTTTCAGGGCTGGAAAGGCTCTTAGGCATGCCTGTTGGTCCTTAGTTACCTTTTGAGAATGGCAGTTCCAAAGTGTGCAGTGCATATGTTAATATTTCACAGGCTATGTTTAAATTCTATCATTCATTTCATACAACCCTTAAAACAGTATACTTCACCCCAAGCCCTCTAGCTGTGCTCTTATTAACATATAAATTTACTTCTATTTGATAAGTTATACAATATTTTTGTTATTTTTACCTTAAGCAACTAGCCTTTAAGGAAACTTGGAAGTTAGAATGAGTTTTAACAGTGCTAGCACACGTCCTTGCCATTTCTGACATTCTTCATTCTTTGTGTTGGATCCAAGGCTTCATCTGGGATAATTCACTTTGCCCAAAGAATTTCCTTTGCAAGCCTGTTGCTGATGAACCCTTTTGACTTTTGTTTGAAATCTTGTATTTTGCCTTACTTTTTGGAGGGCTGTGTCAGTTAGGCTTTGTTTGTTTTTGCCAATTTGACACAAGTGTTGGTCATCTGGGAAGAGGAAACCTTGAGGAAACACCTCCATCAGATTATTGACTGAAGTGGGATGGTCCAGCCCACTATGGGTGTTTTCAGCCCTGAGCAGATGGTCCAGAGTTGTGTGGAAAAGCAAGTTGAGTCAGCCATGGAGAGCAAGCCAGCAAGCAGCATTCCTCTGCGGTTCCTGCTTCAGCTTCTGCATGAGTTCCTACCCCAACTTTCCTCCATGACATTATAATCAGGATGCAGAAGCCCTTTCCTCTCCAAGCTGCCTTTGGCCATGTTGTTATCACAGCAACGGAAAATAAACTAGAATGGAGGACATTTCACTTGCTAGAGAATTTCTGCCTCATGCTTTTTCCAGTCTTCTAATGGTCCTGTTCAT